CCCCCTAACGGCCCCCACCTCCTCCTCGTCATCCGAGCCCCCCCTGTCGTCCTCGTCCTCCTCCACCACCTCATCGCCCTCGTCCCCGTCATCATCCTCCTCGTCCTCAAACTGGAGGGGGGGGTCGGAAAAATACTTGGGTGGCCCAGGGTTGGCCCGGTGCTTGAGCAACGGAGCGATGGACATGCAGGGTGCCAGAGCAGGTGTGCAGGTGTGTGCCCTCCGTCTTTCACGATGCAGCAAGGAAACAATCGCGGCACATGCAGTCAAACCCCTCCCCCGGGTGCCACACACAAGGTAAGGGAAGCATACAACTTACACGGCCGACTTCCTCAGCCGTCACTCGCTCTCTCTCACACACACAAACACAGACACGCCCCCACACAGAGACACACATACACATACACAATCACACACCCAGCCACCCTACCTCTACAGCCACGCCAATCTCCTGGTCCAGCGTGTCCCCCGCCACCACCTCGCCCTCGGCCCCGGGGGCCACCCAGTCGTTGATCAGCTTGCCGATGGCCACCAGCTCCGCAAACCGCTCGTCCGCCACCTGGATTGATAATCATAGAGCAGGCGCAGCAAGTTGAGGTGATGAGATGAGGGGTCCGCGAAGTTCCAGCGGGGCGCCCGGTGCGGCGTGAGGGGGTGAACGCTTTCAGGCCAGCAAACCACTGGCACCTCACCTCCGCTCCCCATGCTTCCAGATGCAGTCAACGATTCGAGGGCAAGCACGCCCACCCGACTCTGCCCCCTTTCCCCAAAAAAAACATGGCTGGCGCCCCTGACACCCCCCCTCTCACCGGCCCCAGCAGCTCGTTGACCTCCTTCTGGCGCGCGGGGTCTGTCAGGTGCTGATTCTTCAGCACAGCCAACACCTGCACACAATCAATTGCATAGCGGCAGCCGCGCGCAGGGCGGGCCGGGGCGGCGGCCGGGCGAGGCGGGTCTCACGAGAGGAGCCAGGCGCGGGGAGCCGGGGCTGGGCGCGACATGTGCGCGCCGCTCGCCTCCTGCAAGGCACCAGCGTTGACTAGGACGGATGCACCGGAGCCTCCGCGCCTGACGCTGATTGCACTCGCGGGCATGCTACCACGGATATACGCACCCAACCCAAGGGTGCCGACCCCCCACCACCCCAACCCAACCCGCCTTGCGCTGCCCACCACCCCACGCCCGCCCCGCCCACCTCGTCTGCCGCGCCGCGCAGCACGTCCTGCGGCTGGTCCCCAAACTGCGTGTGAATCACATTGAGCATCGCCTCGTAGGCAGCGCTGTTCATAGGTTGATGGACATGAGCGCATGTGCGAGGGCAGAGGGGGGCAGAGGGGAGAGGGGGTGAAGCTGTTGATGACCCAGGTGATTTCAGGTAGGGTGACAAGGTTGGAGAGCTTGTAAAAGGGGTGGGGGGTTGAGGAGGGGGATGTGGTGCCAGGAATCAAGGGAGGCGGACGCTGCCAGGAGTGCGGCTGCGTGACCTCGGCCCTGAGAGCACCCCCTGGGCCCGCCTGGGCCCTCGCGGGTGACAAGTCGGCAACAAACGCGGCCAAGCTGTCCTGGTGGAAAGGAGACGCGCGCCGGGGTGGGGGCCCAACACCCGCTGTAACGTGCCAGGTGGGGTCTGCTCTGCCGCCCCCGCGCGTCGCGGCGCCACAGTGGGCAGGCGCCGCTGGCAACGGGGGCGGGCCATGCCTGCTCTCAAGCAAAAGGCTAGGCGCAACAAGTCCAGATGCTGCAAATGCAGGCTAACACACCAAATGCAACACACACTACATACAAGCTACTGCTGAAACACACACACACACACACACACATGCACACGAACCACATGAGCCGAGAATGCGCAAGCTGGCGCCAACATGCTCAGCCGATGCACCCGCCAGCAAGCCCGCCGCCAACCCCGCCGCGCCAAACGACACGCCCAAGCCCCCGCCCACCGCGTCTCCTTGGTGCGCGGCCTGTAGAACCCCGCCGTGTCAAGGTCCATCACGCTCATGCTGCCCGCGGTCTTGCGGCTCTTGGCTGGCAGCGCAAACTCGAGCTCGGCTGCCTTGGCCTCGCGCTTCCTGCGGGCGGGGGGCGGGCGCAAACACAAGGGGTGATGCAGGGGGCGATGCAGGGGGCGAGTGAGGTGGCGGGGGCCAGGGCAATGCGGAGAAAGGTTGGGTTGCTGGGGGCAGGGGAGGAGAGGAGTGAGGGTGGGGCAGGCCCAGACAAAGAGGACCGGGTGGGCGGGTCGGGTGACGGGTGTGCGCGTGTGACGTCATAATCCTCGGTACACGCCGCGTTACCGAACAGGCGATGCACACGCCGCACTCTTGACTCAAAGCAGGCCTCCAGCAAGGCCCTGCTTTCAGCGCGGCGCCCCTGGCCTTCCCCTCAGCCGCCAACCCTTCCCCTCAGCCGCCAACCCACTTGCTGCGCTCCTTGCGCTCCGTGAGGGCCTCGGGCCGCGTGTGCTGCACCCTGTCACCCATCTTGTGCAGGTTGCGCCCCGCCAGCGTCTCCGGCTCGCCGGTGGGCTCGTGAGCGTCGCGCTTCACATCGCTGGTGAGCACGAGGCTCGAGTTCTGGAGGCAGGAGCGGGGCGATGGTGAGCGGAGCAGCAGCAGCGGCGCGCCACCTGCTGCGCCCAAGCGCAATGGTTGCAGCTGTCGGACTCCGAGCGCTGCCGTGGATGCAACCAATGGTGCGATCTACCCATGCCACACGCTGTTGCGGGCTATCAGTGGCCCGCCAGGCATTGCTGGGGAGTGATCTCGCTCCTTCAGGCACCCAACGGCCCAGCTGCGGCGGCACGTTCGTCGCAATGACTACTCACCGCACGATAGTCATACTGCTTGAAGCGGGCGTGCCCCTCGGCACCCGCCCCGAACTCCTTGCGGCCCCCTTTGTCCATGGCCCTTGCGGGGCCACAGCTGGGATATCACCTCGAATATAAGGCACCTTTCACAACGGTGTGTGGCAGAAAGAGGTTCGTGGTCGAGCCAGATCGAAGAGGAGTCTCGGTTTGCAAGCACTACCGTGGCGCTCAGCCGCTGGAAATGGAAAAACTGGGGTACGATACCGACTTCGCAACAATGCCTTGAACTCTAAAGACTCCTGGAAACCGTTTGCAACCAACAGCAAAGCCTGCTGGTGGCGACTGGTGCTGCGCACGCTGTGCGGCTGCCATTCTGAGCATGTGCATGCCCTGTATGGCAGTCGAGGGATTGCACGCCGTTTAACATCCTTGGCCTTCCCAGCGATTGATTCTTGATTATATGTCCCTCGCACTCGCCGAGTAAAATTGTCTCATGATGCCTGGAGTGCGTTGCCACCTCAGCTCGCAAGATCTACCGTCTCAGAGCGCGACAAACGGCCTGGCTGCCACGAACGTAGCGTTTGAAGGGTTACTGCTTGCATCAAGCTGCTATCAAAAGCTCGCGGCATGGAACTTGCCATCAAAGTCATTCGGCCACATTGTCGCCCGCGCCATATGTTGACCAAGCTGAGCAGCGTGTCTCAGCTGCCTCTGCAGCCCAGGCCACCGGGCACCACCGCGTCGCCTTTGGTGGCCTTGCAATTGTCCTTGGGCCCCAAGGTGGTGGCCACTGCGGCCGGCTCTACGGTGGTCATAGTAACAGCGACAGCTCAGCAGCGACTTAAAAACACATAGAAGCTGGCCACTCCCACAAGCATGCGCCCAAAGCAAGTGCAAAGAAGTTCAAGGGCACTTCTTCCGGAAGGGTGTTGCCCGTGTGTCGCGCACTGCTACCTCTCATCCGACGCGATCATCTGACGACCGCTTGATTGCCGCCTCCCCAGCCGTCCTGGTCCACCGCCACGTCATCCGCCCTGCAACCCCAGCGGCACGGACTTTGCACCGTGGAGCCCGTCATACTGCTCGTACCTGACTCAGAGGCTCTCAATCTATGCTGGCATTGCGCTGGATCGCTGGGCGTGTTTGGGGGGAAGTGTCAAGCACGCGACTCTTGACTGTGCGCACGTGCTTGCGAGCGCATGCCGCATACAGGGAGTCGATACGCGGGAGGGGTGGCAGCTTGCAAAACGCAGTGGTACCACAAGGACCCCAGAAGATCATGGGCGCCCTTCAATGGCGCAAATGCGCTCAATCGCACTCCGTTGTGCATTTCCCAATGGGGTCTGGAACCATGCTGCACTGACTGTCTCTTCGCATCACAACTGCTGTGTTCATACGCGCGCGCTCATTCGCATGCGCTTGCACCTAGTTGCCCAACATGCGCAGTCGTGCCACCTCCCCACCTTGGACGTCGCCGAGAAGTTGCGCAGGTGCACTGGCCGCAGGTCCTTCTCCACGCAACTGTGCCACGTGCTCCCCGCCGGCCGCCACCACGGTCGCGCGCACCGTGCCGCTGTGGCACGCCTCAGTCCTGGATCAACAAAGTTGCACATATCGCCGCCAGAGTAGCCCTGGAGAGAGGTGGAGGGGCGCACGGAGGGGGAATTTGTGGTGGGGGGACAATGTGTTGGGTGGGGTCGGGTGTGGATGGGTGAGCGGGTATGTGGGGGGGGCGCCAGTCATGCTGTGGGTGTCGGTTGTGGAAATTAGGTGCGTGTCCTCATCAGGGGGCTTACGAAGACAGTGGACCTGCTGGCCTGTGTCCCATGCCTGTGCGATTGGCTAGCGGCGCACCCTACGGCCATCTCTCGGGCCCCTCTTCCATTTGCGTTCAACACACCTCGACACCCGAGCCGCTGCCGTGGCCCTGGCTCGTGCGCCACCTTGGCAGGATCTTTGAAGCGCCGCTGGCACGGCATGGGTATGGCAGAACGGTCCCGCTGCCCCAGTGTCGCAATCCACCTCGGCTGCGCCGCCAGCTTCACACGATCAGGGGGAAACAGAGGAGCGCCTGCCGCGGGGGGCAGCGGGCGATTCGGCAAAGGTAGCGCCGCAGGGGTTGGCGCCCAGCTTCAGCCCCTGGGGCCTTGCAGGTTTCCCAACGCATGCGTTCTGGCAGAACACGCGCTGCATGAGGGGCCTTTCTAGCTGTGCTTCGCCCAGGCGCATGTGATCCGCCAGCTCAGCGGCGCGCTCGCTTCCTTGACCAGAGTGGACCAACGCCTCAGCATCCCACCGTGCCCTGCCCAGGCGCGGCGCAGCACGATCATCCGCAAATTTTGGTATGTCATAGGTGCAACCGTGCCCACGCACGAGGCCTGCAGCCTGGTTGCTGAGGCCGAGGAGCGGGCTGCAAAGAGCGGTGCGGCATCATGAGGAAGCATCAAATAGGTATATATTAACTTCATCTACACATCTGGCTCTCACGGGCACGCTTCCGCGCCCCGCAGTTTTCACCGCGCTGATTCTTTGCGCGTCAAAGCTGGGGCGCTCCTTCACAGCGCGTATGCTCGATCGTGGTCTAGTCATTCGTGCTGAGTATCGATATGGTGAAACCAGCCCATACCGCATTGAAGGTGCTCCCCACTCCAAGTCCCCCGAGGAGGTCGAACCCAAGCCACGGCGTTCATACCTAAGGTAACATGTCATGAGGTGACACGTGCGACTGTTGGGGGCTCGTGAGACCTGCAGGCGATGTTCGACGCCTGCATCCGTCACGGCAAGTCAGTCTCAGGCGTTGTGTTAGACGAAAGGCAACAGGGCCTTGCGCTGAGCACCGCGTTGATTTTCAACTCAATCACAGATTTATCTGGCAACATGGCGTGCAGCAAGTGGTGTCGTGCCCGCGGTGGGTGTCGGCGATGGTGCGACTACAGTTGTGCCTGCGCGTTGTGCCCCCGGGCTGCTGCTGGCAGCGCAGCCAGCGCCCGAAGACCCTAAGCATCTGGATGTACAACGAAGAAATGCTAGAGCGTTACTGAGGCAAGAGAAGGATCACCCCAGCCAGGCGAGAAGCGGCCAACCCGTCGCCCCTCGACAGCCCCACCCACAAGGGAGGCCACGCAGCTGACGGCACATCCAACAACAACCAGGAAACACACAACTGCTGACAACACCCGCACCCAACAACCAACAACAAGGCAACAAGGGCCGCAAGGGCAGCCAGCAGCACACAGAACAACACGAGACACAAACCCGCCACACCCAGCCGAAGCCAGCGCCGCCCACACAGCCAAAAACCAGCGCCGCCAAGCGCGCCGCTGACTACCGCCAGCACCGCACCACCGCCACTAGCCGTGCTGCTCGCAGCATGTAGCGACACGCTTCCACGGCCTGCGCGCCAGGCCGCTAGCATACGTAGGCGCAGCGACGCCGCTGCCCGCCACTGCAGACTCTGCCCGTCCAGCTCCGCCGCTGGCACTGCGGGCCGCCCTGCCTTGGCCTATGCCGCACCGACGCATCACGACCAAGCACACATCTGCACGGGGTGGCACAGCGTTAAGGGGGGGAGGGACGCTGCTGTGCAGGACAGCAGATGATGCGAAAGCCCAGTAACAGCGCAGGGCCCGTTGCTGGGCAGCGCAAGGCCCAGCAACGGCTGGGCAGCGCAGGGCCCGTTGCTGGGCAGCGGCTCGGGCGAAGGCGCGGCGCCTACGGCGCAGGGCCTCGGCGCCGCTGGCCTTGCCCTGCACTGCCTGCCCCTTGGCTGCTGCTGGCAGCGCAGCCCGCGCCGCAGGCGCCCTAAGTCGCCACAGCACAGGAGCGAAGAAACGCGAGAGCGTTACTGAGCCAGGAGTAGGACCAACCCTGCCAGGCGAGAAGACGAACGACCAGCCCGCTGCCCGCAGACAAAGCCAAAGCCCCACTGGAGGGGCTGGTCGCCCGCGCACCGCACGCCCCCCTGAGGTGGCCTGCGCGGCCACATCAACCCGCCAGACCGCCTTGAAAGCCACCAAGCTCAAGGACCGCACCCAATACAAAAAACGAACAATCATCATGCAAGTCGCGAAGCTCACCAGTGCCACGGGCCACCGCACCGGCCCGGCAGCCCCACCCTCGCGCATAATACATGTAGTATGCACCACAGCTCGCCCGGCTCCTTGTGTGCCGACGCCAGACGCCAGGTCCCCCGAAACCTGTTACGGAGCTGCCCCTGCTGCGGACATGAGTGCTGCTTCCACCTCTTGCCGCTACCAGACCTGCCTCACCAGGCGGCTGCGCAAAGATGATCGCGTTTGGTTGGTTCATGATTGAGGCGCCCGCAGCCTCACTCCTCACGCGCCCCTCCTGAGCGACCGAGACTGCGCAGTGCTCATGGTCCTCGCAAGGCAGTGGGTCAAACCCGCAGCGACGGGCGTTTCAGCGCCACGCCCTGCCTGCCGCCATGCACCCCGCATGTGGCGGGCTCCCCAGCGCGCATGCGCCCAAATCGCATGCGCCCAGCGCCACGACGCCTGCCATGGCTCGTGCCAGCGGGGCGGACCCGCAGCGACGTGTGTTTCAGCCCCATGCGCTGCCTGCCGCCATGCGTCCTGCATGGGGTGGTCTTCTGAGCGCGTGTGCGCCAAGCGCCACGCCGCCCGCCACAGCGCTCACAGCCCCTCGGCCTAAATGCGTTTTCCCTGCCACGTCAAGCATGCCCCCCGCGCACAGCGCATTCTCCAGCTTGCCAGCCCAGCGCCATGCCGCCGCGCCCGCAGTTGCATGCAAAAACTGAGAAGAAACTGAGAATAGCTCACCCCGCGCCGCAAGCCAGCGCCATGAAAACCACTGCCCTTGAAAGTGGTCACCGCACCGCTTCAAGCCGGTGTGTCCAACTGAGTGTCGCATCCCGCACAATCACCCCACCGTTGTTTTCGCCCTGTGCCTTGCTAGCCAGGCGCTCCTCAATCTCCAAGACAGCCGCCACACCCTTGTCCTGCACGGGCGGCATAAGGGCCCGCTGCCCGCTCACCAGCATCCCCAGGAGCTCCTAAATTGACCATGGTCATCGGCCTAACAACCTCCTGCTGACGCCTAGCCGGCTAAGTCGGCTGGCCCTGACTCCTCAGACGGGCTGCTATCACCGCCCTCGTCGACAGACTGCTCCTTGCTGCGCTAACCCAGTGCCCTTCCTGGTGCAGCTGCGTTCGCATTGGCCTTCGCATTGATCTAGCCTCCACCGCTTAGCTGTATTGTTGGCTGCCGTATGACTCGCCGGCTTTAGCAGCTTCACGACTGCTGCGGCCATTCCGCAGAGACACGCCCCTCCCAGGAGGGTCAATCCTGATCTGGTCGCCCTAACCTCTGCTAGAAACGCTGACGTGCAGGACAGCAGACGATCCGAAAGCGCAGAGAAACGCGAAACAACGCAGGGCCCGCTGCTGGGCAGCACAAGGCCCGCCACGCAGGCGGCAGCCCAGCGGGCAGCAGCTCGGGCAAAGGCGACTGCGGCGCAGGGCCTCGGCACCGCTGGCCTAGTGGCGTGAACGCAGTTGGCATGCTCGGCAGAGCAATGCACAGCACAATGCCCTGTCTACTGCACTGCACTGCTGACGACCTTGACACATTGTCCTGTTACGCACATCCTCAACCTCCTGTGCCGGCCTCCCCCGCCTTCCCTCTCGCAGTATTCATGCTGGGCCTGCTCCTCATCCCGAGTGCCCTGCCCGCCCCCCTCAAGGCCGGCGGCCTGACCGCCCCTGTTCGCCGCACCTTAAGCGAGCGGACCACCACCATGTTCATGCCACGTGCCATCAACGCCATCCCCGGCAACACGGCTGTGACGACCCCCGTGGAGCGCCCCTCGCTGCCCGCCCAGCCCAGCAGTGCGTCACACCTCGATGACGCCGACATGAGCCCCCAGGGTGTGGCAGTTGGGGGCGCGGGCTCGACCCACGCCGCCGCCACTGCCACCGGCCAAGCCGGCGGCGGCACCTCTGCATCGGCCAGGCGGGGCTCATGGCCCCGCACCTTGGGGGAGGAGCCAGCGGCTGCGGCCGAGAGCAACGCCACGGTCAGCGAAGGCCGCGGCCGCACCTCCTTCAGCTCCGCCCCGGCCAGCCCTTCCCCTGTCACCAGCGCCGTCACCAGCGCTGTCACCGCGCTGCCCGCCGACATCATCAGCGCCCTTGCCCCCGAACAGGGCGGCCTACTCGGTTGATTTGAACACGCGGGCGCGGCGACGCAGTCATTGTTGTCGGATTATTTGCGTCGCCAGCCCCTTGCCTTGCCCTGGGCCTGCTGTCAAGCAGCCCTGCCCTCCCTTGCTTATGTGTATGCTTGCTGGCAGATCCGTTGGAAGGTTAGGAATGAGGAGGTCCGCTCTAATGAGCGCGAGGCCGATGGCAGTGATGCTATGGTATGAGTAACTTATCATCATCATCCTTGCTGCAGCACGATGAAAGCAATCGTGCGCACTGAACCAACAGCAATTGTTTGAGCTGCGCGTGCTCATATGATTGAACATGCAAGCGCGCTGTACTTGTCCGCACCGCCGCCCGCGGCGGCCACCTGGCCCGCCGCATCTGTGGGCCTCGACCGAAAGCCCAGGCGCACTAGCGGGGCATGGGCGCGCAGTGTGCTTGAGCGCCTGCTCTGGCGTGTCACGTGTTGCGCCCCACCAGGTGACATTTGTTTGCAAATCAACAAAGTTGCTTGCAATGCTTGCAAAGTTACGTTGCTCGCAAGCCTTGGCGCGCCTCTTCATGGCGCGCCCGCGCCACCGCATTGCGCCATCAGGCGCCTTGGCGCAGAGGGCGCTCAGCCGTCAAACCTAAAAACGGCAGGAAGGCACAAGGCGCAGGATGTGCCCGCTCGACTACGACGCTGATAAGGAAATGAATGTTGCTTGCTTGCTGCCAATGTTGTTGCAGCTGGCATTGCAGTTGTGACATCCCTTTGTGTACCGTGTATGTTCTGATCTTGCAAGCCTGTGTGGCTCCAGCGCCCGATAGCACGGTCCTGAAACCCATTCCTGTCAAACCGACACAGTGACACGTCCGCCGAACTCTGTTTGCAGGTGGGCTTGGGCCTTGCTTGTCACACTAATTGTCTGCATTTGTACTCGAGGTACGCTTGTCACGTGCTTGCATCCAACAAGGGCGTCCACCGCCGGAACGCTTGCCATGACACCAGCCGTCCTCGTCCATCGCCGCGCCGTCCTGCTGCCCCAGCGGCACGTACTTGGCGCCGTGGCGCTCGTTGTACTGCTCATACCGCGCTATTTTCGCCGGCGTCACGCTGGCACGCTGGGCATGTGGTGGCGGGTGAAGCACGCGGCTGTGACGGTGTGCATGTGCTGGCGAGAGCGCCCCAGCGGGGATCAACAGCCGGGAGGTGTCGCAGCCTAAAGAAACTCAGGAACCCCAAAAGGCCTCTAACACATTGTGGGGCACCCTTCAGCGACGAGAAAGCGCTCAGCCACACTCCGCTGCGAGCCTCCCACTGGGGTCTGGAGGCACGCTTCACCAACTGCTCTCTCCCTTCCCCTCGCTTTTCACAATTGCTACACAATCACACGCTCGCAGTTGCACACATCTGCCCAGCGTTTGCAGCCACACCCGCACACAGCCACGCGCATGCTACGAACCCCGCCAGCCTTGCTGCCTGCCCCACCTGTGGCGCCGCCTCACACTTGCGCAGGCGCACCCGGCACGAAGGTCCTCCCCCCGCAGCTGCGCCACGCGCTCCCCGCCGGCCGCCACCACGGCCTCGCGCACCGGGCCCTGGCACGCCTCCTGGATCAGATTGCGCATGTCGCTGCCCGAATAGCCCTGGAGGGAGGGAGGGAGGCAAGGAGGGTTTTGGGTGTGTGGGTTGTGCAGGGTGGTCGTTTGTAAGCAAGGAGGGGGGAGGCAGCTGTGCTATGGGTGTGGTGGCTTTCATGCGTCCTATGAGGGGTCTGACGCTGCCATGTTGAGCGGCTGGCCTGTGTCCCACGCCAGCTCAACCGGCTGGCGCACAAGACGAGGGGCCACCTGCCGCAGGCCCCTTCTTGGCTGCATGGTTCAACAAACCTCTGCACCTGAGCCGCTGCCCGGGCCCCGGCTCGTGCAGCCCCCTTTGCAGCAGCCCTGACACGCTGCTGACACGACACGGGCAGACAGGCAACGCCGCTGCCACAGCTTCACCCCCTGGGGCCTGCAGGTTGCCCAACTTGTTGCGCCCGACGCTGGTCGCACTCGAAGCGCGCGACCACAACCCTGAGTTATCACTCCCCCACCTCCCCCCATTCAAAACCATGTCCCCACCCTGCCCACCTCTTCCGCCCCTCCCGCAGTGCGTCCAAGGCTGGTCCCAGAACTACTTGTGCGTCACGTTGAGCGTCGCCTCGCAGGCAGCGCTGTCGTCGAAGGACGCGGGCGCCAGAGCGAGGGGCAGTGGCGGTGGAGGGGTTGAAGCAACAATTGTACACCAGGGCGTATTCACGATGGATGACAACGTGAGGGAGCTTGTAGAATGGGAACTAGGGGGGGCGGGATTGGTCCAAGCGAGGGACCCAGTGAGGGTGATGCTGCCAGGGGCGCGGCTACACGACCATCGCCCCTGCCCGCGCCACCGGGGCCCGCGCAGGAAAACAGATGGCGGCATACGCTGCCAAGCTGTCCTGGTGTAAAGGAGATGCGCGCCGAGGCGGGGGCCCGGCGCCCGCTGTAACGCGCCAGGTCGGGTCTGCTCTGCCGCCCCCGCGCGTCGCGGCGCCACAGCGGGCAGGCGCCGCTGGCAACGGGGGCTGGCCCTGGCCAGCTGCTTTGAAGCACAAATCTGCACACCACATGTTTCCGCGCCGCAAATGCAGGCTGTCAATCACATCCAGCGTCGGAACACATGTACGCGCGTATGCGTGTGCGTGTGCGTGCGCGCGCACACACACACGCATACACACACACACACACACTCACAGACACACACACACACACTGCACACCATCAACACACACTTGTTGCTGCACACCATCAACAGACACACACGCCACAAGCCGGCAAGTGCCTCAACACATGCCCGAGCCCCCGCCCACCGCGTCTCCTTGATGCGCAGCCTGTAGAACCCTGCCGTGTCAAGGTCCATCACGCTCATGCTGCCCGCGGTCTTGCGGCTCTTGGCCGGCAGCGCAACTTCAGCTCGGCCGCCTTGGCCTCGCGCTTCCTGCGGGAGGGGGCCAGGTGCACACAGAGGGGAGGACACGGGGGGGCGAGTGGGGTGGCGGAGGCCAGGGCAATGCAAGAGTAGGGGGGGGATGTTCACGGG